TTCACTGAAGAAAATACACACAATCTGTGAATGGAGGTGGTGCCAAGTGAGTGACCCCCTGTGGTCCGTGTGCACTAGGGACCACCTGGAGGATCTCGTCTGTAGTAGCACAGACAGCTTCCCCAGCGGCCCCTGTAGTATAAGATATGCATACTTAGGCTAGATTGTAAGCTCCCAGGATCAGGGCCCTCCTATCCCTCTTGTATTGAACTGTATTGTAGATGTATTGTCTCCCGTTATATTGTAAAGCGCTGAGCAAACTTTTGGCGCCATATAAATCCTGTATAATAATAATAATAGGTGTACATATGTGCGGGTGGTGCGGCTGCGGATCCGCATGAAAATCCGTGCAGCCGCACCACCTGTACAGAGGAATTCGGACCACCCGCGGGCGGGTGCCATTAATTCTAACGGCATGCCGCCTGCACTGGAAATCACAACCGTACTGGGAACCGAGGTTCCCACGTGAGCTGCGTTTTCAGAAGAAGTGTGTCACGGGGCACGGGGGTCCATTCAAATGAATGGGCTCTGGTGCCCACGCAAAACACAGCACGCACGGCCACATATATGTGAACCGGGGGTTACATTGCGCCTAGCTGGACCATTGTACCTTTGCAGTAAATGTCACTGCTAGACTTCACCATTTAAAGCTTTATTAAACCCAAAACCAAAAATGTCATATATTGCAGCTTACCAATCCTTAGATGTGGGGGCGGCATTTGTCGTCTTTTTCTTTAGATTTTTTTTTCTCTCTGTTTTCACCGGGTGATCTGTCCAGTAACACACTTCCGGTATTTAGTGAGACACGACTCTGGAGGAATGAGCACAGGAGGAACACAAGACAGCAGCATTGTCAGTCTGTGGGAGCGGAGTGTTAAATGTGTTCACGGATTTAAATACACTAACAAACTACAGACAAACTCCAGCTGTTACTTTATAATCTGTTACTGCAAACAGATTTTTCCTTTAGCGATAAAGGTTTTACATAATATAATATTTAAAGTGGTTGCAAACCTCAGACATAAACAAATATAAACTGAGCATATCCCTCTTTGTACTTGTCTTCATCCAGATCACTAAGTGCTATTTCTGTCTGTTGCTTCATTCCTCTGCTATGAGCATGAGCCACTTCTGACAAGTTTTCCTGACACCAAGAGAAAAATGGTGACGGGGAGGGACCTCTAGGAGATTGACAGCCTCAGTTCTGTTCCTGTAAGCTGTGTGAAGGGGGCGTGTGTGTCTTTTCACAAATCAGCTTTACCCGCTGAGCTCTGCAGAATGTAACTTCAGTTCTCCGCCCCTTTTTTTTCTGACATCTCAGACAAGCTGTATAAATTCTAGACTTTGAATTGATGTAGAGAAGAGAAGACTGCAGATAAACAGGTACAGCTTATGTAGAAGGATTTGTTTCATTTGTTGTGTATCACTGGGTATGTGTGAGGGTTTACAACCACTTTACATAAAAGCTGATCATTTTAAGCACCTCTTCCATTATGAAATGGTTTGTCTCATCCATGTAAACTGATACATTCTGCTGGGAGCTTGTGCTTTTGAAAAACAATACACTTGCTGGGTGGATCACCAAATGAAAATGGAAGAAAGAAAGCCAAAATAAGAAAACTAATGCAGCCTTCACATCATATCACTTATTTATAGGTAAAGGTGATCCAGGGAATATCCGATTGCCTCTCGAGGAATCAGAAGGACTTTTTTCGCCTGCAGGAGGAAATTGCATCATGCTTTGCTGGGTTTTTTGCCTTCCTCTGGATCAACTGTAGGTGTAGGATTATAACTTGTGTTTTTTTTTTTTGTTTGTTTTTTGACGGTTGACCTGGATGTACTTTTGTCTGTTTTCAGCCAGACTAACTATGTAACTAAGAATTGATAAGCTATAATATCATAAATGTTTGCTTTTGGGTTTACTACTGCGTTAGGCTAGGTTCACACCTATGCAGGTTGTGTTAGAGCTGTTTCTGTATTGCGTTTTTGCCGCGTTTTTTAACATTTTTTTGCTTGTTGCTAGGCAGATTTAAAACGCAAAAACACATCACAAACGCAGCAAAAAAGCAATAAATGCTATTCTGCAGCGTTTTCCATTGAAGTCTATAGAAACAAAAACGCAACTTTTTGTATTCAAAAAAGTCCCTGACCCATTCCCAAAAAAAGCACTCCGGGTGAAAACGCACAGGTGTGAACATGTCCCATAGGAAATCATGTTAGGTGTGAACGTAGGGCTAATGGGCTTCTAGGCAGGATATTGTATTATACAAGGCAGGTTCACTTTGATCTACACAGCCTGGTTTTAGCACAAGAAGCTCAAATTGGTTGCCATGCTTATCTACTTGCGCTCCAGAGGATTTCCCCCCCTTCCTGACCAGGCCATTTTTTTACATTACGGCGCTGCATTACTTTAACTGACAATTGCACGGTCATGCAATGCTGCACCCAAATGAAATGTACATCCTTTTTTCCCACGAATTGAGCTTTCTTTCGGTGGTATTTGATCGCCTCTGCGGTTTTTATTTTTTGCTGTATAACAAAAAAAAAAAAAACAATTTTAAGAAAAAAAAAAAAATTTTTTTGACTTTTTGCTATTAAACATGTCCAGTAAAAAAAATGTAAAAAAGTTTAAAAATCTAATTTCGTCATAAATTTAAGCCACAATGTATTCTGCTACGTCTCTGCTAAAAAAAAAATCCCAATACGTGTAAATTAATTGGTTTATGTGAAAGTTATAGCGTTTGCAAATGGCGGTATAGATACTGGGATTTTTAATTTTTTTTTTAATTTTTACTAGTAATGGTGGTGATCAGCGACTTCTAGCGGGACTGCGGTGGGCATTCTGACACTGGGGAAACTGACTTGGTGTCACTGACTTCCCCAGTGACACCAATATAGTGATCAGTGCTAAAAAACAAAAGCACTGACACTGTACTAATGGCACTGAGCAGGAAGGGGTTAACATGAGGGGCGATCAAAGGGTTAATTGTGTGCTGTTATACTTGTGTCTGTGTCCCTGTGCTTCATTGTAAGGAAAAAATGTCACCAACACACCAAAGATCACCAATATGGGTCCAAAGGTTTTAATAAACGATCACATAGTTACAGCAAGGCAACGTTTCGGATGTGACATGCCTGATGAAGGGGTCCTGCGAGACTCCGAAACGTTGCCTTGCTGTAACTATGTGATTGTTTATTAAAACCTTTGGACCCATATTGGTGATCCTGGGGGTGTGCTGGTGACATTTTTTCCTTGCTGATTTTGTTCGGTTCCAACCGACGGCCGCTGCAGCACCCACTTATACACACAGCCATTTTTAAATGCAGGAACGTGTGCGTTTGGATTGTACACTTGTACTTCATTGTAAGCACACTGCTTTGCATGGCTGTGCTATGCACGGCCATGCAAAGCAGTGTGCACGAGCTAACAGGGAGGAGAACTGTTTGGTTTACAAACAGTCCTCCTCCCCATCGGAGATGCTCGGCAATCACCGGGCGCCAGCGAGTAATCAGCCCTGGCTACAAACAGCAGCGCGGGTAGGGCGTTGTGCGCCCCCTACCTGGGAATGCAAAATCATGTATATATATGTGATTTTGCGCACCCGTGCTGCCCTGTAGCAATGTTTCTGCTATAGGGCAGGGGAAGTGGTTATACAGTAACGCCTGGAACACACTACTAGGTTTTTTTTTTTTTTTCGTTCAACTCAGCGGTTGAACTGACAGCTCAGGAGGAGCCGCTAACTATCTGATGTTTGTACAGCGATCTGCCCCATTGTGCTATTGTGCTGACAGGGGTGCTGTCACCAGAACACTCCGGTCAGCGCGCTCAGCCATTGGCTCAGATTGCTGATCGGGAGCTGATCGGCAGACCTTTTTTCGTTCATGCCCTGTTCTTCCCTGGTTTCTGTCGGACCGGCTGCTGTACACACAGGCCGAATGTCGGCTGGTTTCTACTGAACAGTCTGATCTCGCCCGCCATTCAGCCCGTGTGTACCAGGGTTCAGTGTAAGTGTTTAGGATCCTAGGGAATCATTAATGTGTGAATCATTTGTAAAGATTTGCTGACTTGTGTCTTTCCTGTTCTTATCACCTTGTTGATTTCAATATACAGCCCCATAAAAAAGAATACTTTGGTATTTACTACATAACCGTATCAATAACCTTCTTTGTATTTATGGCTATGATGACAAGATCGACCAAATGATTATTTCCACAATAAAAAGGATTAGTACTGGCACCGTGCAATCTAAAAAGCAAAAGCTGTTCGTCTAAGAGCCCTTTCACACCACGTACAGCGGGATGCACTCCAAAATCCAGACTATCCTTTGGGCAGAGTTCACACCACTGCAGGGCAGTAAGAAACAAATACAATAAGACTTCACTTCCGCAACATCTCCAAGATACACCCGCTGTTAACCACCGAAACCACTAAGGCCGGCCATACATGGGTTGAAATTCGACCAATTTTTCATCCGAAAATCGGACCTAAAAATAATCGGCCGATTTTCGCTCTGTTAGTGGGTCAATGGCACTGGCCAATTTTTGTGGTTCCTCCCCTTTTCGGTGATCGGGCATCTTGGAAAATTTGTGAAAAACTACCGATTTTCAACTCAATAATGGTCAAATCGTACGATCATTTTTCTGAAAAAAATATGCGCCGTGACCTGGAAGGAACAGAAGTTTCGCCTGTTATATTGGGTGAACTTTATTATTTGGTCGGTCGATTTTTGAAATCATTGATGGCACCATTGGATTACTGAGCGAACGACAATATTGATTTTTGGATGAAAAATTGTTCGGAATTCGAACCATGTATGGCCTGCTTAAGTAACTTATTCCCTCCCTTGTTATATCTCGCCTTGACTATTGTAACTCCCTCCTCATTGGCCGACCTCATCGCAGGCTATCCCCTCTTCAGTCTATCATGAATGCTTCTGCCAGACTCATCCACCTTACTAACTGTTCTGTATCTGCCATCCCTCTCTGCCAATCCCTCCACTGGCCTCCACTCAGTGTCCTCCACCCCTCTCTGCCAATCCCTCCACTGGCCTCCAATCAGTGTCCTCCACCCCTCTCTGCCAATCCCTCCACTGACCTTCACTCAGTGTCCGCCATCCCTCTCTGCCAATTCCTCCACTGACCTCCACTCAGTGTCTGCCATCCCTCTCTGCCAATCCCTCCACTGACCTCCACTCAGTGTCCGCCATCCCTCTCTGCCAATCCCTCCACTGACCTCCACTCAGTGTCCACCATCCCTCTCTGCCAATCCCTCCACTGAACTCCACTCAGTGTCCGCCATCCCTCTCTGCCAATCCCTCCACTCCGTGTCCTCCACCCCTCTCTGCCAATCCCTCCACTGACCTCCACTCAATGTCCGCCATCCCTCTCTGCCAATCCCTCCACTGACCTCCACTCAGTGTCTGCCATCCCTCTCTGCCAATCCCTCCACTGACCTCCACTCAGTGTCCGCCATCCCTCTCTGCCAATCCCTCCACTGACCTCCACTCCGTGTCCTCCACCCCTCTCTGCCAATCCCTCCACTGACCTCCACTCAGTGTCTGCCATCCCTCTCTGCCAATCCCTCCACTGACCTCCACTCAGTGTCCGCCATTCCTCTCTGCCAATCCCTTCACTTACCTCCACTCAGTGCCCTCCATCCCTCTCTGCCAATCCCTCCACTGACCTCCACTCAGTGTCCGCCATCACTCTCTGCCAATCCCTCCACTGACCTCCACTCAGTGTCCGCCATCACTCTCTGTGCCAATCCCTCCACTGACCTCCACTCAGTGTCCGCCATCCCTCTCTGCCAATCCCTCCACTGACCTCCACTCAGTGTCCGCCATCCCTCTCTGCCAATCCTTCCACTGACCTCCACTCAGTGCCCTCCATCCCTCTCTGCCAATCCCTTCACTGACCTCCACTCAGTGCCCTCCATCCCTCTCTGCCAATCCCTCCACTGACCTCCACTCAGTGTCCGCCATCACTCTCTGTCAATCCCTCCACTGACCTCCACTCAGTGTCCGCCATCCCTCTCTGCCAATCCCTCCACTGACCTCCACTCAGTGTCCGCCATCCCTCTCTGCCAATCCCTCCACTGACCTCCACTCAGTGTCCGCCATCCCTCTCTGCCAATCCCTCCACTGACCTCCACTCAGTGCCCTCCATCCCTCTCTGCCAATCCCTCCACTGACCTCCACTCAGTGTCCGCCATCCCCTCTGCCAATCCCTCCACTGACCTCCACTCAGTGCCCTCCATCCCTCTCTGCCAATGCCCCCTCCACTGGCTTCCCATTGCCTAACGGATAAAATTCAAAACACTAACAATAACATATAAAGCCATTTATAACTCTGCCCCAAATTACATCACCGATCTCATCTCCAAATATCACCCAAACCGTCCTCTCCACTTCTTCTTCTGCTCTCTAGCTCCCTTGATTCCTCCTCCCATGTTCGTCTCCAGAACTTCTCCAGAGCCTCCCCTATCCCCTTTAACTCTCTACCCCCAATCTATCAGACTATCGCCTACTCTGTTCACTTTTTGGAGATCTCTGAAAACCTATCTCTTCAGGGAAGCCTATCCTGCCCTCAGCTAATAACAAATCTTCTATTCCTTCTACCAGTCCATCCCCCACAGTTACTACCTTTTGTACCACTAGCACGTCCCTCTTAGATTGTAAGCTCCAAGGAGCAGGGCCCTCCTAACCCTCTTGTATTGAACTGTATTGTTGCTGTATTATTATTATTATTATACAGGATTTATAAAGAGCTAAAAGGTTTGCTCAGCGCTTTACATTATATTTTCTCCCTTTATTTTGTAAAGTGCTGAGCAAACTGTTGGCACTATATAAATCCTGTATAATAATAATAATATAGAGCATGCTGCATTTTCCCATACCACAAACAAGCAAATACATGTGCAAACGCAATGAAACGCATCGCAGTGTACATAGAAGCCCAAGAAAAGGAAGGAGAAGGAAGTGACCTCAAAGGAAAAATGCTAATAGAAAAATGTGCCTCAACTGCATGCAAACACACACCAACGGTATGTAAATGCGCATAAAAATGCACAGCAAAAGCACTCAGATGTGCAGTAAAAAATGCAGTAAATATGCAGTTTCTAATGAGCCCTTAAGCTGACATTGCCCATGGTTGGCAGTGTGGAGCGGTGAGTGGGCACACAATACAGAGCCCTGAGACCAGTTAGAAAACTGGAAAGAACTGCTTACTGAAATCCAGCAAAGCTGGATTCTCCTCAATAAGCAGAGCGGCCACTGACCCCTCAATGCAGGAAAGTCAGCGCTCAAGAATGCAGTGGTGAGATTCAAAGGTTCTCTTTGGCATTTTGTGCAAGCATGCACAGCATATTTACACACAACAGAATACTTCTGACACCCTAAGGCCATGAAGAGAACAAGGACAGCCTTCAGGGCAGTATTAAACCCAAAAGCAAACATTTATTATATTGCAGCTTACCAATTCTCAGATGTGGTGGCTGCATTAGTTTTTTTTTTTTTTGTTTTTAGGCTTGCTTTCTTTCTTTTATTTTCACCTGGTGATCTGGTCAATAAGTCTGTTGTTTTTCAACAGAACAAGTTGTCCTGCAAATGTAGCAGTTTAGAGTGTTGAGACAAACCATTTATCACTGACAGGGGTGTTTACAATGACCAGCATTTATTTATTCATTTAAAATCTTTATCCCAAAAGGAAAAAAAAACTTCCTTTTGTAACTGCAGTATGTGCTAGAGTTTGGCTTCAACTTGTTAAAGTATCTAAATCTGCTAGTACGTCTAACACTCTCCTCCCCCCCGACTAACAATGCTGTTGTCCAAAGGTGCCCCCTGTGCTCCTTCATCCAGAATGGGGGCGCTCTAATACAGGAGGTGTGTTACTGGGCAAATCACCAGGTAAAAACAGATGGTAAAAAGCCTAAAAAAAAGAAAACTAATGCAGCCACCACATCTAAAGATTGGTGAGCAGCAACATAATACATTTTTGGTTTTGGGTTTAATACCGCTTTAAGCTCACCTTTTCACATAAAATGAAAGGTCAACTAATACCCACTGTACTTGCCTCCATGGCAGATGAACTGTCAGTGCCCAGGCAGTGGGTTTGAAACCCCTGCTCTTCTTCCCTGTCTATCCTTAGGGCTTCTGAGACCAATCAGAGCAATTACAATTCAGAATCAGGAAGGGGGGGGGGGGGGGGGTTATTGTAGGAGAGACATGGCATGCTCATACAGTGGGGCAAAAAAGTATTTAGTCAGCCACCAATTGTGCAAGTTCTCCCACTTAAAAAGATGAGAGAGGCCTGTAATTGGCATCATAGGTAGACCTCAACTATGAGAGACAAAATGAGAAAACAAATCCAGACAATCACATTGGCTGATTTGGAAAGAATTTATTTGCAAATTATGGTGGAAAATAAGTATTTGGTCAATATCAAAAGTTCATCTCAATACTTTGTTATACAGTCAGGTCCATAAATATTGGGACATCGACAAAATTCTAACATTTTTGGCTCTATACACCACCACAATGGATTTGAAATTAAATGAACAAGATGTGCTTTAACTGCAGACTGTCAGCTTTAATTTGAGGGTATTTACATCCAAATCAGGTAAACGGGTGTAGAAATTACAACAGTTTCCATATGTGCCTCCCACTTGTTAAGGGACCTAAAGTAATGGGACAGTTGGCTTCTCAGCTGTTACATGGCTAGGTGTGTGTTATTCCCTCATTATCCCAATTACAATGAGCAGATAAAAGGTCCAGAGTTCATTTCAAGTGTGCTATTTGCATTTGGAATCTGTTGCTGTCAACTCTCAAGATGAGATCCAAAGAGCTGTCACTATCAGTGAAGCAAGCCATCATTAGGCTGAAAAAAACAAAACAAACCCATCAGAGAGATAGCAAAAACATTAGGCGTGGCCAATACAACTGTTTGGAACATTCTTAAAAAGAAGGAACGCACCGGTGAGCTCAGCAACACCAAGACCCGGAAGACAATGGAAAACAACTGTGGTGGATGAGCGAAGAATTATTTCCCTGGTGAAGAAAACACCCTTCACAACAGTTGGCCAGATCAAGAACACTCTACAGGAGGTAGGTGTATGTGTGTCAAAGTCAACAATCAAGAGAAGACTTCACCAGAGTGAATACAGAGGGTTCACCACAAGATGTAAACCATTGGTGAGCCTCAAAAACAGGAAGGCCAGATTAGAGTTTGACAAACGACATCTAAAAAAGCCTTCACAGTTCTGGAACAACATCCTATGGACAGATGAGACCGAGATCAACTTGTACCAGAGTGATGGGAAGAGAAGAGTATGGAGAAGGAAAGAACTGCTCATGATCCTAAGCATACCACCTCATCAGTGAAGCATGGTGGTGGTAGTGTCATGGCGTGGGCATGTATGGCTGCCAATGGAACTGGTTCTCTTGTATTTATTGATGATGTGACTGCTGACAAAAGCAGCAGGATGAATTCTGAAGTGTTTCGGGCAATATTATCTGCTCATATTCAGCCAAATGCTTCAGAACTCATTGGACGCTTCACAGTGCAGATGGACAATGACCCAAAGCATACTGCAAAAGCAACCAAAGAGTTTTTTAAGGGAAAGAAGTGGAATGTTATGCAATGGCCAAGTCAACCACCTGACCTGAATCCGATTGAGCATGCATTTCACGTGCTGAAGACAAAACTGAAGGGAAAATGCCCCAAGAACAAGCAGGAACTGAAGACAGTTGCAGTAGAGGCCTGGCAGAGCATCACCAGGGATGAAACCCAGCGTCTGGTGATGTCTATGCGTTCCAGACTTCAGGCTGTAATTGACGGCAAAGGATTTGCAACCAAGTATTAAAAAGTGAAAAATTTGATTTAGGATTATTATTCTGTCCCATTACTTTTGGTCCCTTAACAAGTGGGAGGCACATATGCAAACTGTTGTAATTCCTACACCGTTCACCTGATTTGGATGTAAATACCCTTAAATTAAAGCTGACAGTCTACAGTTAAAGAACATCGTGTTTGTTTCATTTCAAATCCATTGTGGTGGTGTATAGAGCCAAAAATGTTAGAATTGTGTCGATGTCCCAATATTTGTGGACCTGACTGTATATCCTTTGTTGGCAATGACAGAGGTCAAACGTTTCCTGTAAGTCTTCACAAGGTTGGCACACACTGTTGCTGGTATGTTGGCCCATTCCTCCATGCAGATCTTCTCTAGAGCAGTGATGTTTTGGGGCTGTCGCTGGGCAACACGGACTTTCAACTCCCTCCAAAGGTTTTCTATGGGGTTGAGATCTGGAGACTGGCTAGGCCACTCCAGGACCTTGAAATGCTTCTTACGAAGCCACTCCTTCGTTGCCCGGGCGGTATGTTTGGGATCATTGTCATGTTGGAAGACCCAGCCACGTTTCATCTTCAATGCCCTTGCTGATGGAAGGAGGTTTGCATTCAAAATCTCACGATACATGGCCCCATTCATTCTGTCCTGTACATGGATCAGTCATCCTGGTCCCTTTGCGGAGAAACAGCCCCAAAGCATGATGTTGCCACCCCCATGCTTCACAGTAGGTATGGTGTTCTTTGGATGCTACTCAGCATTCTCTCTCCTCCAAACAGGACGAGTTGTGTTTCTACCAAACAGTTCTATTTTGGTTTCATCTGACCATATGACATTCTCCCAATCCTCTTCTGGATCATCCAAATGCTCTCTAGCAAACTTCAGACGGGACTGGACATGTACTGGCTTAAGCAGGGGGACACGTCTGGCACTGCAGGATCTG